TGAGACAGAGCCTCAAGGGTAGAGTGCTATGGCCTCACAGCTCACAGCAACCTCCAACTCCTGGGCTCAAGCGAGTCTCCTGCCTCAGGCTCCCAAGTAGCTGGGACTACAGGCACCCACCACAGCACCGGCCATTTTTTGGTTGCAGCCATCATTGTTGTTTGGCGGGCCCGGGCTGGGGATTTGAACTCACCACCTTAGGTGTATGTGGCTGGCGCCTTAGCCGATTGAGCCACGGGCGCCGAGCCTTTTTTCCTCTTAAATCTCTCTAGTTCGTTCTCTCCTTCATCTCCTCCTCTCAGTACTGGAAAGCACAGTTAGTTCCTAGCTAGTCTCCCTGCTTCTACTCTCACCCCTATTCTCAGAGCAGCCCAATAATCCTTGCAAAGTGGAAACCTAATTGGCTCACTTCTCTGCCCCATTGCTCTTAGAATAAAGACCTTAGTAAGGCTTCCAAGGCTTCATGTGGTCAGGTGCCAGTTATTCTAACTTCATTTTGTACCACATTCTCTCACCTTTGAGTAGACTGTTTCCTCTGCCTATATGATATTTTGTTTACTTATTATCTGTTGACCTATAAGCTTCATGAAGGCAGTGCTGGTGTTCAACTTGCATCATAGCACATACATCATCTATACCTGGCATCTAAAAGAGGCTTTCTTGATAAATATAGGGTGGATGAGGGTAATTGGTAACCCTCATCAGTGAGCTTTATCACCTGATTTCTCAGAAGGAGAGCTCCAGTTACTCTAGGAAGTCAGGGCCACAGGTGTAGCTTTGTAATTAGCTTGGAAGGCTGGATAAGCCTTAACTGCAGAGGAGTTGCAGGCAGAATGAAAGTATCAAGTTGGAAGGCAGACTGGGCCTGGGAGCTCAGCAAGGTGTAGCCAGAATAGGAGTTGAAGGGTAGGGAAGTTCTGGGCTAAGAATGGTCTGTGGGCCTCCACACTGGGGAGGAAATTAAATTTCTGTAGGGTCCTGTCCACAGGGTGATAGTGGCAGGCAGGACTTTAGTTTTCTCTTGGGAAGACAGGGGAGGAGAGCCTAGGGGAAGTGTGAGATAGGAACTATTTACCAGCTATTCAGGGTCTTGCCGCAGGGTCACCTGAGCAAGAAGCCTAGTTTTCTCAAGCTGGTATGAACACCTGTGTTGCCACAGCACATGGCTACCCTGACCTTCACTCTTCCCTTTCCCCACCAGTGCATTGTGAGCGTGGCTGGTGGGGCCACCCGGGCTGCACTGACCATGCACCAGGCCCGGAGAAACAACATGGCTGATGTATCAGCCAAGGACAGCAGCCAGGTGAGGAGTCAGGGTTGGAGGGACGGTGTGGGGGAGAAGGAGAGGCTGGTCCAGGCCGGATCACATTTTGGGAGTCTGGAGAGAAGCACCCATATGCCTCATGGGGTGGGGGAACACACAGGAAGACATATAGGTGCTCCCTGCTCTGATTTTTAGAACATGTAGCACTGGCTCTGGTAGTAATAAGTCCAAGCTGATCTCAAGCCCTGTCTACTGCCTATGTGGCTGAAAGTAAACCCTCACCCTCTCTGTGCCACAGCCCCACCCTGGGAGCTGGAAGTTCTGATCACATGAGGCCCCACATGTGAAGGTACTTGGCAAGTGAGAAGGTGCTTGGTGTGTGAGTTTGCTAGGGTCACTGGCTAGAGGCCTCTACTCAGCAGTTTAGCAGCCCTTCTGGCTCGCTCCTCCTCTTGCCCAAGGGATCCTGAAGTGAGAGTAGGGATATCCCTAAGACTGAACCCTACATGTATTAGATCCCCCCCCCAAAAAACTCCTGTGCTAAGTGTTTATGTGCACTACATTGCATCATTTAACTTTCAACCAGTCCTGTGAGGTAGATACTGCTATTTCTGTTTTACAGATGAGGAAAGTAAGGGCTAGGGAAGTCCCAAAAGTCCCCAAATGGATTTCTTTGATGCTGAAGCAGTTTAGAAGCCCCTGTTCTATCCAGTCCTGTTTTTTGGTATAGAGAGAACCTGAGGCTAGAGAGTTCTTTTTACCCATCCCTTCTGGCAAGAGGGTGAGCTACAGGAATAGAGACTGCAGTGTGGCAGTAAACTGAGAATGAGAGATCTTGGGAGTTCAGGAGCAGGGGGACCTCCTCTCTACTAGGTGGGAACAGTCATTTCTATCAGCCACATTGACTGGCAACAAAGCGACAGCCGCAGAAAGCGGAGGCCTGCTGTGGGACTGAGCATGTGTCCAAACTGTCCCTGTGATGTGTTACTGCCTCCTAGACTGAGGAAGCCCTGAGGCTTTGGGAAAAAATACAGCTTGGAGGCTCGGCACCTGTAGCTCAGCAGCTAGGGCGCCAGCCACATACACCAGAGCTGGCGGGTTCAAACCCAGCCTGGGCCTGCCAAACAATGACAACTACAACCAAAACAAAAAAGGATCTGGGCATTGTGATAAGTGCCTGTAGTCCCAGCCACTTGGGAGACTGAGGCAAAAGAATCACTTAAGCCCAAGAGTTTGAGGTTGCTGTGAGCTGTGACATTACGGCACTCTACCAAGGGAGACATAGTAAGACTCTGTCTCAAAAAAAATAAAACAGCTTGGGGTGAGGGCGTGGTTGGGGGCCAGTGACAGAGCAGGTGAGAAAGAGCAGGCAGAAACCTGGGAGATCCTCAAGTGAAGGGCCTGGATTGTACTTATTTTCCCTAGAACTCCAATAGTTAGGGGCCCCAGTCCCAACTCCTCTCTCATGAAGAGCTGGGGGCAGGTGGCCTGGGATCTTTTCCCCTAGAGCAGGGGTTCTCAACCTGTGGGTTGTGACCCACAGGAACTGTATTAAAGGGCCACGGCGTTAGGAAGGTTGAGAACCACTGCCCTAGAGTGACTTCAGTCTGGTCATCAGAGGGTTCTGATAACATTGATTCATAAGGGAAGAGGTTGGGTCTGTCCCTTCTCTTGACCCCTTTGAAGCTTGTCTGCCAGTTACTGCATACTAAGAGATTGGGGTGCGGGAGGAATCAGCCTTTTTAAACCACTAAATAAAGGTAGTTCCTAACCCTGAAAAACTCATAGTAGTGAGTACCTAGATGTGGGTCTACTCGAGTGACTCTTACAAAACAAAAACACGAGTTAAGGATATTCCAACAGCACTGGGTCTGCCTCAGCAGAGAAGTAGCTGCCTTCTTTTAAATGGTAGCTCACTCACCAAAAACATTAAGTATTTACTTGGCACTACTGTATCCAGTCATCCATTCTCCCCATATTTAACTTTAAATTTTTAAGTAGGGAGCCTTGGGAGCCTCTGGAGCAGGGAAGAATGTGGTGAAAGGCACTCAAGAATGGTCATTCTGGCCTAGAGGGAAGCCCTCCAACTCCCAACCCCTCGGCCTTTTTTCAGGAGACATTGGTGAACCTGGCAGGGCTCCTGGTCAGCCTCTTGATACTTCCCCTGGTGTCAGATTGCCCTAGGTAAGCTGGGAGCAGGGGTGGGGAGGAAATCCCCAGCTGGGCCTCTGCCCCCATTGGCCAACTCACTCTCTTGCCGTAGCTTCAGCCTTGGATGTTTCTTCTTCCTCACTGCCCTCCACATCTATGCCAACTACCGGGCAGTCCGAGCCATCGTCATGGAGACGTTGAATCAAGGCCGGCTTCGGTTGGTCCTGAAGCACTTCCTTCAGAGGGGAGAGGTACTTGACCCCACCTCAGCCAATAAGATGGAGCCACTGTGGACAGGTGACCCAACCCTTTGGGCTGAGTCCTTTGTCTCCCAGCTTCTCCCACTGCCTTGGCATCCTGACTCCAGCTTCCCACAGGTTTCCGGTCCTCTCCATCTCTATCCTTAGGGGTCCCCCTACACCACTTGATCTCCAGGTGAGTGGCCCACTATCTCCCCCTTATCACTACTGCCACCTGTACTCCCTACATATGATTCTTATTCTGGTTACAATTGGCCACCCCCAACAAGCACCCACCTCTCTGTTCTAGGTTCTTCATTTCCACTGAAGAGTAGAAATGGGGGTCAGCGTGGGTCTGGGAGGGAAGGAAGGGTGTATAGCATACAGTAGATATAAGGGATATGTTTGTTGGATGAAAGAAGTATAAGTGGATTGAGAGAATTGTTGACTGGATATAGGAAGAAAGGAAGGATGGATGAGGGGTATGTGTGGGTAGTGGCTGAGGGAGAGATAGGAAGTGAGTGATTAAGTATGGACAATGATAGCTAATAGTTAAATGGCTGTTCACTTGACTGGATGAATATTCCTGCCTTTGCTTTTCCCTCCCCCACTGCACTGTCTTCTCTCCCCTAGTGTCTTTGACCTGCAGCAGCTAGTTGAGGGGCACCAGGAACCCTACCTCCTTTACTGGGACCAGTCACGAAGTGAGTGTACCTCCCAGCCTAAGACTCACCCTCCTGGGGTCACCCTCTCATTCCTCCCACTCCAGGACCCCAAAGCCCTGAGCAGTTTGGCAGCTACCTATTATTCTGGAGTTTTATTTATTTATTTATTCATTTATTTATTTGAGACAGAGTCTTACCTTACCACCCTTGGTAGAATGCTATGGCATCATAGCTCACAGCAACCTCAAACTCTTTGGCTCAAGCCATCCTCTTCTTTCAGCCTCCCAAGTAGCTGGGACTGTAGGCACCTGCCATAACACCTGGCTATTTTTTAGAGACAGGGGTCTTGCACTTGCTCAGGCTGATCTCAAACCTGTGAGCTCGGGCGATCCACCTGCCTTGGCCTCCCACAGCGCTAGGATTACAGGCATGAGCCACCACGCCCAGCCTTATCCTGGAGTTTTAGACTAAGACTTTGATGCATTCAAATTATATCTGCATGTCCCAATGAAATTCACTTTACCCCTCTGTAAAATGAAGCTACCAACACCCCGCCTTATTACCTGTAGTGTTTTTATGAAGATCAAATAAGAGGAGTATATAACAGCACTTTGTACATTCCAGCATACTTCTTCACATGAGGTTAGGACCTTTGGCTGTCCCTGGGGAACCACTCTTCTCACCCATTCTAGGTCATTGGGTAAACAAGTTCTTTAGTTTACTAGTCTGCTGGTCACATATTAAATGGTGGTTATTCTTACTGGTCATTAAAAAAATGTAAAATAAACGCACCTCAGTGAGCTATGAAGGTGGCTTTATTTTGAAACTGTAGTTGTAAATTGTGCATTTTGGTTTGACCAGGGCATTGGGATCAATGGGAGATGAACTTGAAAGGAAAGGGGAAGAGATAGCCTTCCATGCCAGGCGGAGGCCTCTGGGGACAGATGGCTGAAACAGGGAGATAGAGTTGAGGGTGTTTAGGGAAGTGGCTTTTCCCTGATGCCAGTCTGTTTCTGGGTCTCCCCAGACCAAGTACAAGTAGTCCTGAGTCAGATGGCAGCCTCTGAGACCATCCTAAGAGCCGCCACACATGGACTCGTACTTGGAGCCCTGCAGGGAGATGGACCCCTTCCAAGAGAGCTGGAAGAACTGAGGAACCAGGTGCGAGAAGGTAAGAAAGAGCCTCAAGATCTAGACTGCTGATGACTCAGAGCAGAAATGGAGAGAGGGACTCTCTGTCCTTTTTGAAGACAGGAAAGCATTCTGGTTCTGCGTTCTACCCCAGGTCCTGAGAAAAACAGCTGGGTCATCGTCAGAGAGGTACACCGAGTGCTAGACGTGTTTTTCCCAAAGTTCTTGAAAGGTAACATCCATGGCTCCTTGGTCCCTAAAGCCTTCTCTTTGGGTACCCTGCCCACTCCTACCCCCAGATGACTTGGGTTCTCTCTGTTATCTTAAGCCTGGGACTCAGTTTCTCTGTCTATAGGATGGGGAGGTTAGGATGGTCTCTGAAGCTGTGTCAATGTTGACAGTCTGTGTAATCCTAGTTGACATTTAGGAAATATTTGGGTGAATCAAAAGAGGAGGGCTCACATTAACTGGTGATGACTTTTCATTTAGCACCATTCCATTTCAGCCCTGTTCATGTGCTATCTCAAGGAATGCTTGCTGCATCCAGATGAGGTTTAGCCTTATTTTAGGCCAGACATCACCCAGCAGAGGCAAGGAGAGCCCAAGTAGTGCACAAAGCCTACTCCCAGGCTGTGCCTCTCCTTACCCTTCTCCCCAGGGTCAGCCCAGAATCTCTTCCCCTGCATGCCTGGCAACACCCCATGATCTCTCCCTAGGACTGCAGGATGCTGGCTGGAAAACTGAGACGCACCAGCTAGAGGTGGATGAATGGAGGGCCACATGGCCTCTTTCTACAGAAAAGAAGGTTTTGTGAGCAGCCCTGATGGAGGCCCAGGGCTCAAGACAGGAGTCTGAAATAAGGACACCTTGACCACACAGGATATAGGAAAAGCAGATTTATTTTTGCTTAGGGGAGCTGCTATGGCAGGTTGATTAAGCCCTTATGAGAAGTGACTGCCAACCTGACGGACTGGGCCTCAGGCAGAATAAGGCAGAGAAAAAGGGAACCAGGACCTTCACACCACCCCATTCCTGCCCTTTGCCCTTTTCTGGGGACCACTGTAAGCTACCCACTCCTGCTTATTGTGAGGCTAAGCCCTTCCTTTGCTGTGGTTCATGTTGTCCAACACAGTTGGCCTTAGGCATAGAAGCCCCAGAGGAACACCGCCACAGTCATCATGAGCAGGGCATTGAGGTTGACCACACGGGCCCATCTTGGATCCTCACTGATGTCCTCCAGCCGCCTTGCTGCTTCAGCCACCTCCTCTTGGGTAGGAGGTAGAGGACCACCTGCCCCACCCCTGCTCATTCCACAGAACCAGAGCAGACACTGGCGGAATAGGCTTGGTGATGGGGATTGTGACTCTGGAAGAAATTGAGAGTCTACAGTCAGTTTGCAGGAACTTGGCTGCCCCAGCTCCCCAGCCCTTCCTCCTCAGTGTCTTACCCTCCATCTCCACTGCATGCTCTGGGCACCCATTCTGTACAGGGAGTGATGAGCCTTCCAGCTCATCAGCATCCAGGTCCTCTCTTTCTTCCTTGCTGTTCCGGAGACTGAAAACCAGGCGGTGGAGCTAGGGAGGGATGGGATCAGGGACCAAGTGTCCACGGTGGCACACAAGCCTTTTCACTAACCTCACTCTGTCCAGTCTGCACACCTAACAGGAGGCTCAGCTCTGACAAATTCTACCTTCCGTAGCTGTCCCTTGCCCTCAGGCTAAACCCCAAGTTCCTCACCTTGGTGTTTAAAGCCATTGGTTCCCCACCTTTATCACCTCAAGTCTCCAGTCTACACCCATGCTGTGGTACTTTAGACCCTGGTCTTACAGTCCTGCCGACACAGTGTTCCTTCCATGGGTATTTGCTCACAGTTTCCTCCTACTGCTTTGGAATCCTGTCCATTCTTGCAGGCCCAGGTGTTTTGTAGGCACCCACCCCATCATCATAAGCCCTGCCCTGAAGGAGCACAAAACCAGACATTTTTCGAGGGCTTTCAAGATGATATTCCGCCCTTCTCAGCCAGTAGTCAGATCCTGGGTTTTGAGGCCCAAAAGGTCATGCCAAGGATTGCTTTGGTAGGCTTTAATTGCCAATTCATCAAAATCCTATGCCACCTCTCCCAAGACCACTTCAAATAAATGTTACTTAAAATGTGCTCGTACTGCAAATGCAGCCTCCAGCTAGACTCCCAGCCTGCTCCTCCCAACCCACAGTATGGAGAAATGCAGGTCCTCCCATTGGGTGTTCCTGGAAGCAGACCAGCAGATGAGGGTGGAGATGGCTACTCCTGCCCACACAGTGCTTGCTTAGGGCACCTAGCCCATCCAGCAGGTAGCACTTACGTGTTTTCGAGGGATGGGTTCAGTGCACATTGAGACTATGAGAATGAGGAGGCTGGAGCAGAAGAAGAGCACGATGGCAAAGTAGAGGTAGTGCACACTGCAGAAGAGCGCTGGGCACGCTGAGGGACGCACACAGCTGCCCGTGCCAAAGGAGAATTCAGGAATGAGGCGTGCAAGGCCCATCAGCAGGCCCCCGATCAGCCCCCAGAAGGCACCCTGCAAGGGAGACAGGTCAGCCTGCACAGGATGTCCAAGCTTTGCCCCAAGTTGGCAGTGTGCACACACCACTCACCTTCTCATTGACACGGGGCACAAAGAGTGCCAACAGGAAGACGGCAAACACGGGCGGTGCCAAGTAGCTGGAAACTGACTGGATGTAATCAAAGAGCTGCCCCCCCTGCGCTGCCTGCACCACAGGTAGCCAGGCCACCGACACTGCCACGATACATACCACCCAGAGCCTGCAGTGGGAGGTCATCAGGAGGTCTTACCCAGGACCCTCCTGTCCTCTCCCTATAATGCTGCAAGGTGCTCCACTCCCCACCCATGATTCCTGGGACAGGAGATGGGGAGGAGGGGGAAAACCAGGCTGCACCTTCCTACTAGCAGCAGCTCCCGGTCGCCTGCACTGGGCCGCAGGCGTGTATAGATGTCCATGGTGAAAAGAGTGCTGCTGCTATTAAAGATTGAGGCCAGTGAGGACATGAGTGCTGCCAACATGACGGCCAGCATGAGTCCTCGAAGACCTGTGGGCCAATAGGAGCTGTGAGGTTGAAACCACTAAGGTGGCCCTGACCCGTGTGGTTTTAGCAAAGGGTGGACACTCCCAGCAGCGGTCTCCACAGCACGCCTGCACCTGTGAGCAAGGGCCAACCCAAGTACCTGCACTCACCGTTGGGCATGAGCTTCACTACTAGCCGTGGGTAGGCAATGTTGGAGCAGCCCACCTCGGTGCCACACACACGTTTACACACTTCCGGCACCACACACGCCACTTCATCTGTGAGAAAGAGGCTGTGGTGTGACTAGGGTAGGGCCTGGGCTGGGAACTAGGATGCCTAAAGTAGGGACTGGGAATCCTAGCAGAGGAGAGATGGGCCCTCTGTGGGAGGCAAAAGTAGGTGACCAGATCCCTGAATCTTAGGCGGGTAATGGAGTTGGGCACCTGGATCTTTGCAAACGAAAAAGGCTAGACAGACACAGGACTCCGTAGGCCAGCAGGGGATGCCGACGTTACCTGGGTAAAGAATGCGGCTGATCATGCCTGGCATGACCATGAGGAACATGGGCAGCAGCTTGAGATAGCCGCACAAGATGCAGCCCGCCTTGATATGAGTGAGGCTCTTCCCAGCCAGGCAGCGCTGCACTATGACCTGCGAGGAAGGGCGTCCAGCTACCTGCCTGCAGTCCTGCCACTCCAGCTCCTTCAGGCCTGGCCCCAACCCTCCGTGCCCCCCACCTTTCCACGCTAATTTGTATTCTGCCTTTGGCTCAGTGGTGCCCAAAATTCAGCTACATTCTCAAACCTCTCCACTTGGATCCAGCCCCACCGAGTTTAGCTGAGCCCGGGTCAGGTTACCCCACCCTGGGACAGGCCTTTTATCCAGCCGCTGAGACGGGTTCAGGCTCCACCCTTCTCTGCCCCACCTCTCGCCTCCCGCAGCGGTTGTGGCTCTGCCCCAGCCTCGCTCCCGGGCAAGCCCCGACCACGCACCTGATCGCTGCACCAGTACCAACCCGAGACGATGGTAAGCCCCAGGATCACTGAAGGCCATGGCAGGTCTCCTGTCACAGGGTCCCGAAGCAGGTGATAGGAGTCGGGCCGGGGTCGATAGCAGGAGCTAGAGATGTTGCCCACGGCCGGATCCTCGGACACCGTCAGAGAAGTCATTGCCCCCATGTATTTGTCGAAGAGACCCGAATAGCCGCCCACCTCGTAGAAGGCTGAGGGGGCAAGGTGGTCAGGGGACCTGGCACCAGGGCGAAGGCCCTCCTTAGGACCCCCATGGCACAGACAAGCCATGTCCTGGCTCCCCCCTCATGAGCTCTGCGGACCGAGACCTCCGTTACCCTCCCCCATTCGCTGAGCCCCATACCGTAACCCATGAGGATGAAGGACCCCCCGAGAATGACGAAGGTCTGCACGGTATCTGTGTACATCAGCGCTGCCAGCCCTCCTGCAATAGGCCTGGATCAGCGTGGACAGCCCAGCTTGTGATCTTATAGGCAGGCTGGCCCTAGCGCATAAGTGTTTTTGTGAAGTCTGTGTAGTAGGAGCGGGTGATTCCCTAAGGCCGAACTCTCAGTTCCATCCCTTCTCCAACCTCCCCGAAAACCAATCTTGGCACCAGGTTCCCTACTGTAGGCCTCATGTGACCTCAGGCCCTGCCCTAGGACCCTCTGCACTGGAGTTGACCAGAGATCTTGGAAACTAGTCAATTCCATTCTCCCAGGTGTTCAAGAAGGGCAAGAGCTGCTACATCTTTCTTTTCCCCCCAGTCCCCACTCAGGCCAAATCCAAGGGAAAGTAGGGAGAGAGGATGTGTTTCTTTTCCAAAGACTTAATTCCTTTTCCTTGGGCCACATCACACATTCAAACCTCTGCACCCTGCTTTCAGCTGGCAGCTCCCCAAAACCCTACCCACAGCACATATCCCGAGCCCCCTCCCTTCCCTAACCTAAGCCCACTGTGGGCACCTGTCACAGTGTAAATCATGGTGATGAGCAGGAGCGCAATGACAGAGGCGTAGATATTCCAGCCCAGAGCCTGCTGAATGAATACTGCCCCAGAAAACATGTCCACCTTAGAAGAAGACACAAGCACGCTGATCAGGACCCAAGGGTCAGGATAGTGACCCAGGCTCACCCCTGCCCGGCCCATGATCCCACTTCCCTCAGTTTTCAATGGTGTGGCCTTACCAGGTCCCTTGTACTGTGGTTTCAGCCTCAGAGACCTATTCCTTCCAGGCCCTGCCTCCATCATGATTCTTACAGTGATTTCTCCTTATTCCTGCACTGCCCAGGGCTCTCTAGAGCCTTCCACTCGGTGGCTCTGCCCTTCTAGGGCCCCCACCCACCTGCCATATATGCTCACCGAGATCTTGGTGAAGATGTACAGAAAAAGCGAAAGCATAGACAAGTAGAGGCGGATACGATGGCCACCAAAGCGCTTGCGCAGGTACTGTGGCATTGTAATGACCCCTGCAGTCAAGTACACTGGGGCAAAGAGCCAGCCGAGTAGCAGCACTACAAACAGCGCCTGTGGGTAGGATATGACACAGTCTCAGATCCTACCATAAGGCTGCCTTCACCCCTGAAGAGTCTAAGAGACCCTCTCTTCACCGATGTCCCAGTCCAAGGCAAGTAGCCCTGAGAAGGGTCACACCTGGGACCCAGAAGATAACTGCAGTCAATGGCCCTGGTCATTAAGGAATAGAGTCAACACCCTCCAGTGACCATAACCTGGGGCCTCCTTGCCCTCCTAGGCCATCACCCCCTGCCACTCCCTCCTAAGATGGGCCCTATGTTCCCCTACCCCCGCTCTATCATATGAACCCAAGCACAGACTCCTCAGACTGACCCCAGCCTCTGCCTGGGTAATTCTCCTCTTCTCTTCACCCAACCCAAACCTTTGTGCCTCAAAGCCCAGTCTTCTCCAGGAAGCCCTGAGCTCAAAGCTCTGAAATGCCCAACCCTCCGTGGTGAGCCTCAGTTCCAGAGCTTTGTCTCCTCCTCCCACTGCCAGAGAGCCTCCTACCCCACAGCACTGGAGAGCATCAGAACAGGTGTTTCTCTGTCTTTGAGGCTCACCCTGCTTCAGAGAGGTATAAATCAAGCCATAGAAGGGAATGGCTGGTACAGGCTCTCACGGCAAGTGAGGAGCAGGACCTATCCTTGCCCTGAAAGCAGTCATCCCATGAATCCCTGTGCCTCCATGCTGAATGTTTGACTCTCACTCCCAGCCCAACCATACCCACAAATTGAGAGG